GTGGAGCACTTACTGTTCTTTCAAAAGATGGGGATGTATGTGGGGGGGAGGGCCAATGATATTGACTGGGGATTTTAACTGTATAATTGATGAGAGTGGGCAGCAAGGGGTGTGGCAGGGTGGGGCATTGAACAACACGGGGAAATGGTTGAGAGGGTGGGTTAAAGATGAAGGGTTTAAAGATGTTTGGGAAGGAGGGGGAAATTTACAAGGGTGGATCCAGGTGGGAGGGGGAGGTCAAGGATAGATTATGTTTTTGTTTCTGAGGGTTTGGTGCTAAAGGAAAAGCGTGTGATTGATGTAGGGTTTACTGATCACTGGGTGTTGTGGGTGATGGTGGGATTAGGGAAGGGGATGAAAAAGGGTAGAGGGCTTTGGAAAATGAATGTTTCACTGTTAGATGACAACAAGTGTCCAGCCTTTAGAAGGGCATATGAGCAATGGGGAATGTTACAGCAGTATTTTGCTATGAGATGGGAATGGTGGGAGGTGATTGAGATGAGGATACAGGTATGGTATGATGGTCTGGGGAGAAGGAGAGTAAGGGGGAGGAAGCAAGAATTGAAATGATTACAAGGGGAGGTCCAGAGATTGATTAGAAGGGTGGGGTGAGGGGGAGAAGGTGAAGAGGAAATTGGAAAGGGCAAGGGAGGGAGTAGAAAATTGGTTTAGGGTGAGGATGAAAGAGGGAATGATTTTAGCGAAAGAGGTGTGGGTGAAAGAGGGGGAGGTGTGGGAGAGGTGTTTTATGTTGTGGGTTAAAAAGAAAAAGAGGGAGATGGGAGGGATATGAACAGAGGAGGTGTGGATGGAAGAGTCAGGAGAGGTATTGAGGGAGGTAACCAAATGTTATGAGGGTTTGTTTAAAAAGGAGATGGATGGGGGAAAGCTAGAGAAATTCGTGGGTGGGTTAGAAGCGAGAGTGCAGGATGAGGTTAGGGATGGGTTGATGTGAGAGATATAGGAGAGGGAAATGCTAGCGGCTTTGAGGGTGGTGCCAGCAAACAAAACACCTGGGGTGGA